CTTCACTTTCATGCTGAGAAAGTTCATTGTCACCACATTCCAGAAAGTGATGCTGTCTTTAGAGATCAGGAGATTAATCTTCCAAAAGGGACAAAAAAGCCATATGTAGTTATACCTAGTTTGGTGCAGTTGGGATAGCCAAATAGAATATAACTTATTTGTAAAGTAGTTTAGTCTGATGCGATGTGAGGAGTGAGGTTGTGATGGTGATGTGCATCTGTATTTGTAAGGTCTACATTTTTTTCCCCTTTTCTCCTGGAATCTGGGTTGGGTTTCCCCAGTCTTGGAGTCAAAATTATGTCATGATACTTGCATTTATTATAATACAAAAGCACCCAGTTTTCAAGGTATTCAAGATTCTTATCCAGTGCCTGAAGACCAGGATCTTATTGAATTGTAAGGCATGGAAGTAGGTTAACTAACCTTCTTCCAAAGTCATTGCTGTGTTGAAAGAAGTCCTCCTTCCCCACCTTTAAAACAAGAACCTGCTTTCTGATGTTTAAACACAAAATGAAAAATGTGCAGAGTAGATCAAGCTTGTCTAGAATGCTAAACTCTGATTAAACATCTTGTCCACCTTCCAAAAACATGCTCTCTCTTAACTCCATGGACCATCCAGCAGAATTTCCAAGGTGAAAGAATTCATTGTACATCACAAGGGACAGGAAATGCTTTCCTAGCAAGACAAATCAAGCTATTAATCTTATAATACAGTAAGAACTATTATAGCAGAAAGTATTCATTTCTACATCATTAAGGCTTATGTATTGTGTTTGAACAAATGCGTTTCACTCACTCTTTTTGGTATTTTGTATTTATCCAAATAAAGCTTTATTGCAAGGCAAGCTGCCTCTAGATGCCACACAATTCGTTTTATGTACATTGTGAAAATAGCTCTAATGCATTAGCTCTATCAAATTTCCAGGACTTTCCACCTTTCTAAAATATCAGGGGCTGTGATTTTCAGACAGAAAATAGAGTGCATTTATTTATTGTTTAAATCAATTTATATTGTCACCCAACTCATAAACAAGTGGCTCGGGGCAGCATACAACAGCTAAAAACAATAATGTAAAAGGTATAAAAACCAAGCTAGAACAAAGAATAACGGAGAAAAATGATGTTAAAAATAGCAGAGCACCTTACTACTTCACTTATCTCCAGAGGTCCTTAGGCCTGCTGACATAACCAGGTCTTGAGGGACTTCCAGAAGCTCAACAAAGCCAACTTCACTTCAGGAGAGGAGAAGATTTCCCCTCAGGGGAGAGAAGATTCCACAGTGTGAACACCACAGCAAAAAACGGCCCATGTTTAGAGCCTGCCAAATATAATAAGGGATGAAACATGTAATATGCCTTCTCCACTGGATTCTTTCCTCTTTCTCTATTCCTATTCAACATATACATGAAGCCCACTGGACAAGTTGATCCACAAACACATATTCATCAATAAACATATGCTACTCCACCATACATCTCAACCCCAGACTGAAAAAGTGATGCTATTGAGATGTCTCTGGGTGTTTGGAAACTTTTAGATGTTAAATCTGTTCATTGCTTAGGACTTAGCATTTTTCAGTCTGCTTATTCCAAATATTATTTCCCCAGCAAAGAAAATCTTCCTATCTAACATGATCCCCATCCAACCACAGTGGAGTTTCTCCAGGTCTTTTCACTTACGGAATGACATCTCCAGGGATCACAGAGGGAAGCCATTTCAGTGTCATCCATGTTTGTCAAAACAAAATTCTTCCAGATATTTAGATGGCCCCTTCCTCCTCATTTTTAGGAAAACCATTAAAATATGGTTATTCCATCACACCTTGATTATGGAACACTGGATCTACTCTGGTATTTTAAAGATTTTCAAATTTTTTGTTTATATGGATGACTGTAGATTGTATATTTGTCTCTTTATACAGTACTGCATTGTTTTTAACTCGATTTAAGGAAGTTGGAATGTACACTATTCAGTTTGTTAGCACACTAAAGTAAAAATAAAACATCTGACAAATTTTCAGAGATAGAATTTGCCTAAGAAGCCCACAATTTTCAGAAGGGATTCAGTTTCTAAAAAATTGGTACTGCAGTCTGTTGAAACAAAAGCAACATAGATGTGCCAACCACATACACACACAGGATAGGGAAAAACAGCTTTTGATATTCTCAGATTAGTGTGAACATGCCATGTGGATGTGGTCAAAGAAAAAAAATATGTTTGTGGTTTAGAAAGCAAGTTTCTTAATGTCAAAAGAGTGGAAGAATTTTACACAGGAATATGTCTTCAAACCTAGAATAAACATAGAAATGCAGAGACATTATAAGAAGATATAAAATTGTAATTGCATTCCAGGACAACCAGAAGTAAACCTAGGTTTGGAGAATTCATGTTTTAAAATGTTTTAGGTCATAAATCATTTCCAAAGGCTCAATTTATAAACAGCATTATAATCCTAGAGCAGTGATGGCTAACCTTTTTGCCATCGCGTGCCAGGAGAGGGGGGGCGGAGGTGGGTCGCGCGCGCACGTGCCCACGCTCATGTGTGTGCAACCCCCTCCCCCTCCCCCCCCCGCTCCTGGCACATGATGGCCTGGTAGGCCCGTTTTTCTTTCTTACCTGGTTCCAAATCCTCTCTGTGTATCTGGGAATAGCGAAAACAGCCTTTCCCACTTCCTTGGAGGCCCTACGGAGGCTTAAAGGGCCCATTTTCCAACTCCCGGTGGGACAGGAAGTGACATTTTTTGCTGTCCCCATCCTCCAGAACCTCTCTAGGAGTCTGTAGGAGCCTCTCTAGGAGTCTCTGGAGGCTGGGGACAGGAAAAAATGTCACTTCCTGTCCCACCGGGAGTGGGGAAATGGGCCCTTTCAGCCTCCGTATGGCCTCCAAGGGAGTGGGAAAGGCTGTTTTCACCGTTCCCAGATACACAGAGAGGATCTGGAGCCAGGTAAGAAAGAAAAACGGGCCTTCCCCATCCCCCCAGGCCCTCCAGAGGCAGGAAACAGCCTGTTTCCCTACTTCTGGTGGGCCCAGAAGGCCTGAAAATCAGCTGGCCGGCGCATGCATGCACCCCAGAGCTGAGCTGGCATGCCCACTAATATGGCTCCACGTGCCACAGGTGGCACGCATGCCATAGGTTCGCCATCACGGTCCTAGAGATTATAACATTGTAAGATTTTATAATTATAAGATTTTATGGATAAATTATTAAGTCTGTACGAAAGACAGACTTATTTATCTGGGTAGGAAGGCACATATCCAGCTGGCCTCAAAAAAGCTCCTAATCACTGAAGGCAATAAATTTTGAATAATTAGTTATTAACTATTAGCCTTCCTTCCTTCCTTCCTTCCTTCCTTCCTTCCTTCCTTCCTTCCTTCCTTCCTTCCTTCCTTCCTTCCTTCATGATTTAAGTAAGTCCCTCTCTGACTAACTCTTTTATGCTATCCAAATTACTCCAGAAAGACCTGGAGAATTTGCTCATGGCTCCCGTGTGACAGTCATTAAGTGAGTCTCCGCAGTTGTTATGCAAATCCACAGTTGTTAAGTGAAGTTTTGCTGAAAACCAGAAGTACATAAAAAAACAAAAAACCATAAAGGAAGTTGTGTTGCTGAGCACTCAGAATTCAATCTCATGACTGCAGAGGAGACCTGACTATTGGAGCTTCAAATCTGGGTCATAAGTCTCCTTTTTCAGGTCAGTTGTAACTTTGAATGGTAGCTAAGTGGCCAGTTGTAAGTCAAAGGACAACTATAGCTCCTGCTGTAACAGCAAAGCTGGTAGTAGCTACCCCTGATAAATCAACTTCCTATGGGATTTCTCAACAGAATTCCTTCTAAAACCATTAGCATTTATTTAATTTTTAGGTGTGGGATTCGTTTTACAACTTTTTACAAATGTTTTTACAACTTTTACTGATATCATTGAGAGATCATTTAGTGTATTAACTAAGGTACAACAAACTATGTTGTACCTTCTACAACATAATTTCTACTTCTAGTCTCATTTTAGGAATGAAGCCAGTTGGGTGACCTTTCCAGTCTCCCCTCGCTCCAGTAAGAACCAGTGAAGACAACTGATAGGAAGAGAAATCTTGGTTTTGTTACTTGGTCTTAATAAAGATCTTTCCCTCAATTTTCTTTTTAAAATTTGCATTGGAGGAAAGAAAAGATGCACCATACACAAGACACTCTCCTGCGCGAGCTGCACTGGCTCCCGGTGGTCTTCCGGGTGCGCTTCAAGGTTTTGGTTACCACCTTTAGAGCGCTCCATGGTTTAGGACCTTGTTACCTACGGGACTGCCTACTACCACCAATAGCCTCCCACCGGCCAGTACGCTCTCATAGAGAGGGACTCCTCCGGGTGCCGTCAGCCAAACAATGTCGACTGGTGGCCCCTAGGGGGAGAGCCTTCTCTGTGGGGGCACCTACTGTCTGGAATGAGCTCCCCTCGGAGATACGGAGGATCCCGGATCTGCACACCTTCCACCGCGCTGTGAAGACCTTTTTATTCCACCAGGCGGGCTTGACCTAATCTTTTCCCTCTTTTTACTATGTAAATTTTAATCTGTTTTTAAATTATTGAGGTGTTTTAATTTGTCTGGGCCAAAATGGTTTAATTCGATTTTATCTGGTTTTTAAATTTTTTGTATCTATGTATTTTATTGTTTGGCTGTTCACCACCCTGAGTCCTTCGGGAGTAGGGCGGTATACAAATCAACTAAACTAAACTAAACTAAACTAAACACTGAGTGGGAAATTTCCCCTGCCAAAAATTCTGTTGCCCAATGATTTTTGACCTGAATAAAAGTATCAAACTCCATCTTCTATTTTTGCGCATGCCCTTCCAATAATCTCAATTCGTTTTTGGTACATTGACAGAGTTAAAAGGAAAGTATAATAGTATACTGCAAAACTCTGTTTTCCATTGGTTTATGGCTAATTTATCAATAAGTCAATCTGTGCACAGGCAATATCCATAATTATATTATTTTTTCTTTCCAGCAGCATCATGTGATCAAGAGCTACAGTCAGCATTAGAAGAAGCTAAACAGCCCCAGAAAGATAATGTATTCATTCCAGAGTGTGCTAATGGTGGGCTTTATAAACCAGTGCAGTGTCACCCCTCCACAGGATATTGCTGGTGTGTCCTTGTTGATACAGGACGTCCTATTCCTGGTACATCCACAAGGTAAGAGATCTTCATTGGAGAAGTCGTCACACAATAGCAGATTCTTATCTGGACCCTTTTCTAAGGAAGAGGGACAATTAGGAAGAAACATATGCACATATATATGGAGCTATGTGACATTGCTGTCTTCATCCAAAGACTTAAAAGGCTATAACTGCACAAAATAGACTATGATTATGGTGTAACAATTCTATGGCAAAAGATGTTACTATTCCTCATTGTAACAGGAGTAATCAACTCCTGTTGAGTAATCATTCTCTTTTTTTTCAAGGTTTATTGGGTTTTTATTTTTAAACATATATCAACATCAATACATGAACAATATGGCCTCTGGATATGGTTTATATTAATACAAATAACACTCAATTATTATATTAATCAAACTTATATAATCCTAATATTAATGTACTTGATTATTTTAAAGTACTTATTCAATATTTCAATATTCCATTCTAATGTCAATGATCTTCTTGAACATACATAGTAATACCATCTTTCAACCTCTCAACTTTCCATCTAAATATTACTTATTTTCAGTTTATATAGAAATTATAACTACTAATATTCCCCCAATTCTTATTTCTATCTCTATTCTGGCTTCTAGTCAGGTCACTCTTACTAATCCTGATGTTAAAACACATATTTATGTTAATACATAATCCTTCATATAAAGGTGTATATTCTTATTTATACCTCTATTTCTAGTTTTTAATCAGGCCGTCATTATATTAGAAAAAAGAAGAAAGAAAAAAAAAGGAAAAACAAATAGTTCTATTCTATCCATTATCCCTTGCCCATTTTAATACTTCAATTCTTATTCGTTTTTTGGCTTTCCTCCCATACTCCTCTCTTGGATCTTTGTCTCTGTCAACATCATTATTCCATCTAAATATTTCTCCTATCTCTATCCTCCTAAGCTGCCATATTTCCAGAGTATCCACCCATACTCCTATCTCCCTTTCAAAAACATTTTCCAGATTATCCATTTCCAATTCCATTTTTATATCTCTCAAAAAGTTTTTCTCATCTTCTTGTTTTATTTGGTGATTTGTCTATTCTATCTTTTCCTCCTTTCTTTCTGCCGCTTCCTCTGTTTTCTGGACTCTTTGATCTTCATTCATTACCAGTTGTATCATATTTTCTACTTTGTCACTTATGCCTTGGATTAAGTCTTTTATCTCTCTTTGGTTCTTTATCATGGTATACCTGATGCTTTGAAACATCCACACCATTTCTCTTGAAATCTCACTCATTTCCCCCTGAAAAGGCATCTTGTTTTAGTTTAATAAGTCCAGTTTTAGGTTTTGCTCATCAAAGAGTTCAATAATCATAGCTCTCTACATCTCAGGGTTATTAATCAATTCCATTTAAATAGTCCAGACAGTTTCCACACAACAAAGGTCACTTTATTTTACTTAAAAGTCTTCCTTATCACAATAGTAAAGTAATTAATTATAGGACAGTTGGTATCACCACATTCTTTCAAAAAGATGTTGCTTATTTCTTCTGTCCAAATTTTCCTAGATTTGTAGGGGTATAGTATATTCCATTCACCAATAGATGGCAGCATCAACAGAGGTTTCAGCATTGTTTCAAACATGATAAATTAAAAGCCAAATTTAATTCAGTTTATAGAGACAAAATTAGATACTTGAACCAATTCAGGTACATAGTTCCAGCATATTATAATGCCTTTTCATAACAATGCTACCCAGTTTAAAATCCAATTTTCTTTGATTAAAAGATCTTTAGTTTTTCTCCCCTCAGTTCCTTTCATTTGGGTCTAGGATTTTTCTCTCTATGGTTATTCACCACTTTGAAAAAGGTAATTCTAAGAGTCTCCTTTCTTCTCTGGATTTTCTTCTTTTTTCCTTTAAGTTTGGGGACTAAATGCAAAAAAAAAAAGGAATCTTCTCACCCAGCTCCAATCACTGTTTACTAACTCCGCTCCAGCACCAGTCTTAGGTGTTCCTCAGCTGCCCCAGCTTCATGGCAGCCATGTTTAGGCTGCCTCTTCTTGTCGTCGCTGAGAGGGAAAGAAAAACCCCAGGTCAGGCAGGAGAGTTGCAACTCTCCTGCCTGACCTGCCTGACGCAGGGCACCACTCTTTGCTTTGCCTCCCCTATAGGAAGGCTTTGGCTCCTCTTTGAGCCCACTAACGGGGAGGATTCGGCACGGGAGTGCAGAGAACCACTCCTCATGTCCGATTTCACCGCAACATCAACTGGAAACTCCACGACATCAACCGGAAGCCAGGAGTAATCAACATTCTTAACATGCTTTGAGTGCTGACATTCACAGTTTTTGTAATGAAGTTTATTGCAAGATGTTTGAATCAGTAAGTGATTAAAACTAAGGGAACAGTCATGAGCCATTAAAAAAATGGCAAATTTGTCACCGAAAGTGTAAAAAGTGTTCTTACTGCCCAACTACAAATTCTGATTACATCCCTATTATTTCGAGTAGTTTTATTCAGATTTAAACCAATAATTTACAGTATGATCAAGGTAATAGAAGAAGAAATAAAAAATAATAATTGCTATATATATAAATAATAAAAACATCACTAAGTTCATTGGAAAGGACTAAATTAAGCATAGCTTTTTTTAAAAAAATCTTTCTGTAAAGATCAAGAAGTAGTGAATGATAATTATGTTTAAATCTGGCTTTAGTTCATAGGATTTTTCTCATTAATTATTAGCAGGTTTAAAAGCAATCAGCAAGGCACCACTTGTTATGTTATTAAGCAACTGTCAAACCAGGAAGGTAATAAAGTCAGGGGCTTCAACTTTTGCTATTAATTCAAATTTTTACTCATGTTTCGAGCTCTTAATATGATTTTGTAGACATCACTCTTTCTGAATTTAATTCTCTACTATAAAGTTGGAATAACCTTTACAAACTTCAGAGTTGATGTGAAAAGATTCAAGACTGTGAAACCCTTTATATCAGTGGTGACATCCAAATTTTTTTACTACCGGTTCCGTGGGCGTGGTATGGCTTGCTGGGCATAGCTTAGTGAGCGTGGCAGGGGAAGGATACTGCGAAGTCTCCATTCCCACCTCACTCCAGAGGAAGGATACTGCAAAATCCCCATTCCCTCCCCACTCCTAGGGGAAGGATATTGCAAAATCTCCATTCCCACCCCACTCTGAAGCCAGCCAGATGTGGTATTTGCCGGTTCTCCGAACTACTCAAAATTTCCACTGCTGGTTCTCTGAACTGCTCAAAATTTCAGAACCTGCTGGATTTCACCCCTGCTTTATATCGCAAAAAGTGACAACACAAGAAGAGAAAAGAGTCAAGTGTGGGGGGGGGAATCAGTTCTGCCAGCATCTATGTACTATAGGAAAAGAAATGTAGCATCAGAAAGAACTTTCTATTTTTTCCCCCACAAACAGTTCCTTCAGCCCATTTTCACATGATTAACTTCCCATGGAGCAACACCGCTGGAACCAGTAGAAAGGAGAACAATATTTTTAATATGTTGTTAAACAGTAAGTTGAAGTTCATGAGTTTCAGCTGAGCCAGAAGCAGGGAAAAGAGCTGAGAGCCTTGTTTAGCAGACAAAGCAGACAAAATATCACTTTCCAAAAGCAACAATGTGGGCTTGGCGTCTTTAGGAATGCTAGTATGGAAGCTCACCAGGAACCAATGCAGTCTGTTTAGCATGATACAAGCACAAATAGTTTGAAAAGCAGAACATTCAAAACAATGCTTTGGAGAGTTAACTGCAGAAAGCCAGAATATCTGCTCACGCTCACAATTTCAGTTGAGGAAGGTCTGTGCCGGCAGTAGCCTAGTTTATGTTTAATTCCCTACATCTCCGAATAGGACTTGTAATATGATTGTAATCGGAGACTCTGCAAAGACAATGTCAACAACTCTAAGCTGAGTGAACCAGTGAGCCTCATTTGATCCTGCTCATCTCATCTGATCTCATTTGATCCCGCTATTTCTGCCTTATACTTGTTTCTTTTGTTCTGGAAATGTCAGCCTGCTATAACAAGAGCCTGTGTTTCTTACACTTTTAAGGTAGCCCAAGGGCTTTTATAGACTTTGTTGTGACAGATTATATGGCAGAGGCCAGATGACCTGTGATGAGGAATTGTGGGAATTATAATTCAAAGACTAATATTTTTCCCCTCCAAATATACTACCCAGTAAATTGGGCTACATTGTGAATATTTGTGGTAAGGGTAATTATTATGTAGATTAAAAAACACCTAAAATTGAAAAGGTGAATTTTCTCCTTTGCCCCATTTCTTCACATTTTTGGATACATTTTGATGGCACGTATGCAGAACAGTGGTGGGTTTCAAAATTTTTTACTAACGGTTCTGTGAGTGTGGCTTGGTGGGTGTGGCATGGCTTGGTGGGCGTGGCTTGGTGGGCGTGGCAGGGGAAAGATACTGTAAAATCTCCATTTCCATCCCACTCCAGGGGAAGTTTACTGCAAAATACCCATTTCCTCCCAATCAACTGGGACTCGGGAGGTAGAAAATAGATGGGGATGGGGCCAGTCAGAATTTTTACTACTGGTTCTCTGAACTACTCAAAATGTCCACTACCGGTTCTTCAGAACTTGGTCAGAACCTGCTGAAACCCACCTCTGATGCAGTATATTCCATAAACTTTAATATATTGCATTCTTGTTGGAAGTATAATTATGTCATTTTAAAAACAATTTTCTAGCCCTCATGTTTATGGAGAACTGATTCAAAATGGTTTGTTGTTGCTACAGCTGCTGTTAATTCTGCTCAAAACCAGAATTACTCAATGCTCAGAAGGCATTATATGATATTGTTCCATTTCCAGAGCTAAGACTCTAATGGAAAACATTTTTGCCACTTGAAATCCACCCCCCTCTCCCCAAAAAATGGCCAGGGGCAGAATTTTAATAAATAAACCAAGGTCATGTTTCATCTCCCCTTCTAGCTGGTTGTTACTTTTGCTAGGCAGAAAATAACGTCAAGCAAGATTGTGGAGTCCATCGTCCTCCAGACATTGCTGAACTACAGGTCCCGGCATTTTGCACCATTGGCCAGCCTGGCTAAAGCATTTAGGAACTGCAGATGTTCCTAAACATCTAAAAGTCTGAGGTGGTGATTTGTTGCTGGATAGAACACAACTCTGGAATTGTAGGAAGAATTGAAAGTGAAATCATGAAGTGCAGGGTGTAATGGAGAAACTGAAGGGCAGCAGGAAAAGGGAAGGAAGGAATGCAGAGTGGGGTATCAGATTAATTTGAGATCAGGCTCTTTGCCACATGCCACATTAGAGTACCCAGTTCAAAGACTTTTTCTGTCATTCTTTACTTGGTAAAAAAAAAAAAAAGTCATGTGACAGCAATTACAATCCACTTCATCCAAAGCTCACTATCAAAACAGCTTCTGTTCTTCTTACTCTAAAGGCTTCCCTTTCACCCATAGGCACCTATTAAGCTGAGCATGAAATTGCATTGCACCTTCATGCAGCAGCTTATATCTGATGGGCTATTAGCCAATTCCAGAAATGTTCATTTCCTTCACACAATGAGGAGATAAATTAAACATTGGAGGCAGGGACTACTTATTTCATTCCAACCATATATTATTCCCATGACCAGAACAGTATCAAAACACATTGTGATTTGTTACAAGGGCTTGGAAAGAGTTTTTTCCCCCCACGCCTTAAATTTTATTAAATTTTCTAACATTACATGGACTTAACCCCCAACCCTGCATCTCCCCCATATATCCATATGTGTGTATTTATGTTATGATTTTTTGTTCCATCACATATAATCCCGTAGCCATATTTCATGTCAGACATAGATATGGAACCAAAGTGTAAAGTTCAGAAGGGCATAGGGAAAATGAAACATTGGTAGATAGAGTAAATCACTTACCTCCCCTCTGTCCGGTTCATTTTTGTGTAGCAGATGATCACATTGTTCTCCAGAGATTAGATTTTGAAAAATCAGTTGCCTGGGATTTCTAAAAGATTGAATTTTTCAAGCATTCTTAGTGCTCAATTTGTGAATTCAAAAGCCATTAGATCGGTTTTTTCATCCTTGGCAATCTTAGCAGGGGTGGGATTCTACTGGCTTAGACCGGTTCGGGCAAACCAGTACCTGCAACGATCAGCTGGGAGGAAACTGGTTCGTTCCGATGATCCGGTGGATCTGCCTGCCCTCCCCTGCGCTTTACTGACCTATATCTTCTCAGTTGATTCATGCGGCAGAGCGATCACCAAACCGGTTGTTAAACCGGCAGGATCCCACCACTGAATCTTAGGATATGTGGACTTCAATTCCCAGAATTCCCCAGCCATCCATACAATCCTGGGTATTGAAGTCCACATGCCAAGGCTGAGAAACACTGCATTATGTGGTAGGACAAAGGTCCTGCTCTCAGTCCCCTTTCCATTCATTTAATTACATAGCATTTGAAAACTAGGTGGTCTCTGTCACAAATAAATAAGAAATACAATAAAGCATGATGCATATATTAGATACAAGTAGTTGTCTAGCATCTTCAATCATTTTTCTACCATCAGTATAGGTAATATGATGGCAGAAAGCTAATCTAACAAATTGCCCCTAAATTAGTGTTTATTTAATAGTACACTATGGATATCATATAAAAATGAGATATTTCTTCTTTACCCTCAATATACTTGAGGGAATCTGAGCTTTAAAAACATTTGCCATGGTCCTATTTCTTGGGAATAATGTCACTTTTATTTGGTTGACATGGTTTCATCCAATTAATAAGCAATAAATTGAAAGCATGTTTTATTCTTTTATCCAGATACTTGCAAAGAAAAATAAATAAATCTTGTAGCAGGCAACTGCATGGCATGAAGTATAATATGAAATATCAAAATATCAAAACTGCATCCAAGTATAAAATTAAAGTCCACTTTACCTGTATTACTTTGGATTCTTGATGTGTAGAAGTAATTCAAATATGTGCTGCTGGGAGTAAGTCACATCCCCAAGCCCAGGAATTCTAAACTTGTAGAGTAGCATGAATTAATGGGTTTTTAAAATGAGCTTTATTTGACATTTGAATAAATGTGTGGCTATGGTTTTAGAATCAAGAGTAACTCAAGCTCTCTGCCAAATTTCGGTATGATCACACAGCTGTTGAAATGGTAGGGTTTTTCAAATTAAATTAGCATTAGTTTAATGTCTTTTTTTCTTCCTATGCTCCCTTAAGATATGAACAGCCGAAGTGTGATAACAGTGCTAGAGCTCACCCAAGCAACACAAGAGACGTGTTCAAAGGGCGCCCGTTGCAAGGTGAGTGTATAATAAATGGTGTTTTGGGAGAATGTTTATTCATTCAATTAACTTGAAGAGTGGCTTCATATCTACAGTAAAACTCTTGAGCAAAAATATTTGAAATACTGTTATGCAATGGAACTGGTTCCAAGTCACAATTGTGACTTCACAATGGAATCAGTTCCTCAAAATGCCTAGCACAACAACCTGCTTGGTTATTATACTGCGGTTGTGTACCAGTTTATAAATAAATAAATATACAGGATAATCTTCCTGCGGATTTTACATACCACTGGAATGATCATTGAGGAGATCAAGAGGAAGGAATATGATATTATATTATATTATGCACCTTGATTTACTTTAAAAAGTAATAAAATTAGGATAAAAAAGATTGAATAAATAATAAAAAGGAGGAAAGTAAAGATTCTAATACAGGGGTCCTCAACCCCTGAGCCCCAACGTACTATTGGGCTATGAGCCATTTGGAACGGGGCTGTGGAAGTGGCAGGCAAGACCACACAAGAGTGCATCCTCAGTTGTGCAAGTAGCAGGCTAGTGCATGTGCTCCATTTGTGTGAATGGCATGCACACATGCCTGCCATTCATGCAAATGGAGCTGCACACATGCTTGCCTGCTGCTCTCTCTCTCAAAGCCATCCCCTCTCCCCAGTCCACAAGTCTCCCTCCTGCCCTCCCTGGTCTCCCTCCTGCTGGTCCACAAAGCCAGAAATGTGGGGGAACTCTGCTTTAATAGAATCTCACCTAAGTTGGGAAAGCAAATATAATGTGATAAACAGAGGTAGAATCAAGTTCCAACTGTGTGTAGGTATATAGTATACGTCTCTTCATTCTTAGAGATTGACTTAATACTAATTAAGAAACTGATATGGAGGTGATTATGAATAGCTCAGTAACAATTTCAGCCACAACTCTAATCAATTCTACACTTCTAATGTGCAATGCTGATTTTTTTTTAAAAAAAGAGTATATAATGTTTCATAATAAAGTATAATAAGTATTGTAGAACTTTTAGTAGTGGACTGGCAGAACTAATCAGTTGGTGAGTCCATGGAGAACTTCCCTGAGATCTATTTTTAGCCCGCAACTTTTTATTTTACATTGGCAAATAAAAACCAGGGCTGGGGGGGAGGAAATCTGCTTTTAGCAGAATGCAGGTTAAGTTCTATACTTTTCTTATCTATTCGCTTTTTTATTTTGAGCCAAAAGAAATTAGTTATTCTTTTCCTCAGTTTGAACCTGGGAGATACCAGGACAGTGTACTGTATGTAATGGTTCTGTAAGAACTACTTTTCTGACTTTCCCCTGTCATATAGTTGTTACGCTTATCTAAGAGCATCCTGTTGTGCAGATCTCATTGATTTGAACCAGAGGACCAATTTTAAATAGGGGAAGTAATGAGATTTGCAGATCGCAATATTAACGAGGTTCAAAAACTATGATGTTACACAGCCAAGTACCACTTCATTAAACCTGAGTATATAAAATAAACAGTTGGCTTTGAAAGACTTCGGGAAAATTGGCTCAAAGCCAGTTGGCATAAGTTCTAGTTGTGATAATATATGTGTCAGAGGAAAGAAAAAAATATTTTTTTTATGAATTTTCTACAGTGATTATTAAAATATTAGGAAATTTAGTGCACCCCCTACCAGTTGTTGCTAATTCTGGGGCATGGCAAGTTGAATGACTATTTATAAGATATAAAGCCTCTATAATGCCTATTAAGTGAGCAGATTATTTTAAAATTAATTTAATTGTAATTTAGTACTGCATCCAACTGTGTGACATAATTTCTTTTTTTTAAAGTTTTTTTTGTTATTTTAAAACCTAAACATAAAACACATCTTTTCAAAACAAAGCTCTTGATCCAGTCACAAATTCATACAAATCACTAACAAATCTTAATTTTCAATTAATACAACTTAATATTTTACTCAGTTATTCCCCTCAAATCTATTATTTAACTATGCCATTATCCCCAAAAACCCATTACTTAAATCTTAAATCTTAACCAATTATCATTCCCTTTTTCTCTTTCATTTGCTTAGATGGATATATTTGTGACATAATTTCTGATCTATTTCTAACATTCCCTTTTTTGGGAAGGTTGTTGAGAAGGTTTTTGGGATGAAGATTCAGAAGATTCTGGGTCTTTTTCAGGCAGGCTTCAAACTTAGACATAAGTGGCACTGATTGTGTTGGTTGACGATATCTGGTGGGATCACAAGAGGGAAGGTGTTACATCTATCCTGGCCCTCCTTGCTCTGTTGGTGACCTCCAGTACCATTGATTATGGTATTTGCTTTGACTAAAGGAATGGGAGTGGGAGGCAAAAGTTTCCTCCAAGATTGGTCCATATCAGTGTTGATGGACACAGACACCTATACCCCAGCCTTTGCTTGGTTCCTCCCTCTTTCTATTTAATGTCTATGGGAGGTTTCTCTGTGAGATCATTCATCAGTTGGCAGCCATAGCTTAGAGAGCCTTTGCAGAAATCCAGCTTGTGCTCCAGCTGTGCCCATTCCTGAATCAGGAAGCCCAACTGGTAGCCACTGATGTCTTGGCTACCTCTCATTTGGATTATTGCAATGAGACTGCCACTGAGGACCACTCAGGAAGCTGCTGCTCCCATACGTTATTATGGGAGCACCTTGGTGCACTTATGTAACAATACTACTTTTGTGAGCTGCATTAGTTAACAGTAGGCTTCCGGATGCAATTCCAAATGCTGATTTGTTACCTATAAAGCCCTTCAGGGAAAAAGACCTAGTTATTTGTAGGAGTGTCCATCTCAGATTATTTCTATTGATGTAATAAACTCTGAGTGGGACCAGGAGATGTGATTTTCTATTGCTGTGCCTACTCTTTGGAACAGCCTCTCCTCCAAGGCTCATATAAACCCAAACCTGCTTGACTTTCCGAAGGTATTCCTTAGGCACTCAATTGGAGAAGAATGCCAGCAGAAGAGCACATGCAAAAGGTATTGCAATAACTTAATAGAAAATGATAGATGATCTGACTGAGGAAGGATCACAATAGCATGTCAACTAAAGCTCAGTAGAAGCAGACTAGCTATAAATCTCATCTTTTATAAGAAACATAGCTCCATTCACAATAGACTTAACTTGACAATAGTTCTATAATAATTGCAGGAAACTCATGAAAATGTTTTTTTCCCCTTTTGCTGTCACATGTTTTATCACAACTAGAATTTATGCCAACTGGCTTTAAGCCATTTCTCCCCAAGTCATTTTAACTAGTTGTTTGTTCTACTTAGGTTCAAAGAAGTGGGACTTGGCTCTGTAGCACTATAGTTCTTGAGCCTGGTTAATATTGCAATCTGCAAATCTCATCACTTCCTCTACTTAGAATTGGTCCTCTAGTTCAGATCAGTGAGATCTGCCCAACAAGATGATCTTACATAAAGGAAGAACCATTTGATAGGGGAAAGTCAGAAAAGTTGTGAACTGTTTGTATAGACCCTGGAAAGGATTGCTTCATTTATAATTACAGTATTTTAATTCTATGTAGAATTGAGTTTCTTCGGTTTAAATGGCTTGGGAGATTTCAGAGAGGCATGATGTTTATAATTGAGTATTCTTGGAAATCCCGATCTGTCCCATTGATTCATTGTATAGTTGCTTGCAAAACACAAGCTAGCTATTGTAAGCATCTCATTCATAATTTTATAAGCCATTCTCATTACTAAAACCACAAGCTCTCGCGCTGTTCTAAATCTATAATGGCCTAAGAAATGGCATACTCTCAAAGAGCAACAGAAAATCATCAGTAAATCCCTTCTTCTCCATCTGCTGCATGGCTTTATCAATCCTCTTCCTCTCCCAATTTGAAGGATTTGTCGCCATTTAGAATTTCGGGACATTTCAAAGATTTTCCAACCAACAAATGTAATGGGATTGGAGAATAGCTTTTGCAACTTTGTTTAGATATATATGTGGAGCTTTTGTGGCTTTCCATTTTAGGCAACTTGAAGGGCTATTTGGAATCCTATCCATATAGTTTGAAAATCCACAGCCAGTTATAAAAAGGCAACAATGTACAATGTGTGTGAAATCGACCCAAATTTAATTTGTGATGTAAGTTAGTTTATTGAATGTGTTTTTCTTTCAATATCAGAAACCAAAGTAACAAGTACAGTATAAACATCTCTAGATAGATAACAATATTTGCTTTAACAACGCTGGTTTTACAAAACAACTGAACACACACACACACACACAGAAACAGAAGTATATATTCATTCATTCACATACATCTGTTTCACTAAGTCACTGCTGGGTTGCTACTGGTTTGGTTTGGATCTTGCGAACCGGTAGTACCAGTGATGGGAGGCTCCACCCACCCACCCGAATGTCATCACGGATGCTCTGAGCATGCGCGTGTTCCCGTTGCAAACCAGTAGCAAAGGTAAGTGGAACCCACTGCACTAAGTCCAGTAAATAGTAACCAGCTGAAAAGATAATCTGATTCACATTGACTTTATCACCAATCACTATTGAAGCAATGAGTGCATGGCTCTAAGAAGATGCGCTAGAAGTGTGTCACTACAAATTGACCCTTTCTCTGGTTTTATGAAGCTGCAATTTTGATGGAAGTGGTCCTGGATTCCATTCCTGACATTGTCAGCCAGAAGAACAAGTCTTATTTGTCTCTTTGATCTGGTAGAGAATACAGCTTGGTCCATTGAAAGTACATACTGTACATGGCTCTTTTCATGTTTTCCTATGTGCCAAATGGTAATTACCATAGCAATATTGGCCAGCATTAATTTGCCGCAGAGATCTCTGAAGTATCCCTGAGCATCTCTGAAGTATCCCATCTATATACAGAGAACGAAGGTATATGTATACTCAACATTGCATTAAGAAAATAATTTTCCATTGAAATATATATTAAATTGCATGAATTTATGGAGCAACCCATTTATCTTTGGTTTCTACACCTATCAAGCCTGTGTCCAGCCACAGATGTCTCCA